CTGGCATCACTCATATAATGCCACACACTCTTCCTTAAAGATTCATGCCCGTGTCTTGTGCTATAGGCACATGTCCAGAACAGTGCCTCACACTTCGTTACACTCCTCACAGTGCCTACAATAATAATGACAATGATGGTAAACCCATCCTACAAGATTAATAAAGAACCAATTTAATGCGGTGGAAAGCACATGAGAGAAGCATGATTCTAGCATATGACTTCTTCACTTTGAACTTGTGAAAACAGAGATACAGTGTGTGCTCTGACATCACTCCACTTTAAGGAGAGACTGAGTTCACAGGTGTTAGGGTATTATGTAGATTATATAGCAAGAAAGGCAATAAACAAAGATAAGGTATTATGATTAGTTATTTCTTTTAAAAAGATGGATAAGTAGGGTACTTGAACTTTTAAGTCACGGTTTATCCAGGTTTTAAATAGGTACTATCACTGGTCATTGCTACCGCCTGCTGCCTGGATTACCGTTATGACACCCTAAATGGTCTCTCTCTTTCCACTCATGTCTTTCCCAGTTTATCCTCCACACAGTGGCCAGAATCACCCTTTAGAAAGCATGAATTTGATTACATCCTCCGCTGCTCTCAATTTTCCAATGGCTTCCATTCCATGTAGAACAAATCCCAAGTTCGCACCGTGGCCAACACGGCCTGCGATCAGAGCCTGCTGGCCTCTCTGACCTCTTTTTCTCCCCTTTGTTCACGCTGCTCCACCAACACTAGCCTCCTTGCTCATCCTTAAACACACCAAGAGGCTTTATGTTGGCTGCTCCCTCTGCCTAGCGGCCTTTCTTCAGATATTCGCACAGTTTACTCTCTGTGGAGGCACAAGGATGGTGCACACCTGTGGTGTCACTTGGTGTAGGCTGGACCTCGTGGGCAGGAAGCAGCAGCTTCACAGGTGCCCTGCTCTCTGGGCACTGTGCTCCCAGAACGGGATGCTGGCCCACTTGTGTGCAGCAAGCATAAGGTGGCCTTGTCAAAACACCTGCTTGGGCTCCAGGTGGTTGGCTCAGCCGCTAGGAAGTCAGAGGTCCAATATCTAGAGAACTTGGGGCCTGTTGGAAGTTGCAGCCTCTTCTTCTGGGGAAGGAGAGGGAAAAGAAACTACTAGTTTTATGGAAAGTTGGAAGCCGGTGACCACGTCCACTGGGATGAAGTCTGGGCCAGTCTTAGCCAGCTCACTGCTAGCTAGCCATGGATAATTCTGACTGCTTGTCTCCACACAGTCTCACTGCAAATGCTCAGAGAGGCCTTCTGGGAACACCCCTGGTGACTCAATACACCCTTGTCATCCTCCTCTATGTTTCCTCTTTGCATTATCCTTACTTAACGTCCTTGTTTATCTGTTTGTCGTGTGTCTCCTATCACTGGAACATTAGGTACATTGCTGTATCCCCAAGGCTTGGCACTCAGTAGGTGCTCAATTAATGCTTGTGGAAAGGATGTTGATGGAATTCCATATATGCATTAATTTCTAAAACTGTTGACATTAACACTTTAAAAAAGTTCAAGACAAGTCAAAAAGAATGTATTACTGTGAAGGGCTTTGAGGGATTAATAAATGACAGAATATGGGCTCCAAGAGAGTCACATGGGAAAATACCAGAACTTTATATTTCTTGGCTATAAATGTCAATGTACATTATTACAAATATTTGCTACCCTTTCCCATAAAAACTTGCAGTCAGCTTCCCTTGTGCTTAAAAACGCTACACCAACAGCGATGTAACTGTGGAATGAGTGCTTTGGGTCACTGATTCTTGGCATTGAAAGGAACTACAGAAGCCAACTTTATTCAGTGGAAGCGTCTCTACTCACAGGAGTTTTTTGAAATGGACCCCATTCCTCTTCTATTTAACAACTCAATCCCCAGATTCTATAAATGTCCGCCTAGGCCACATTTCATACCCTGAATCTTCCTTAATGCCATACCTTTAGTGCCCACACTTTTACTGTGCCAGGGTCCCTCCTAAAATGTGGCATCCAGAGTGAAGCTCAGTACTGCACAGGTGACACGTCCAGTTCTGAGTACAGTGGGCCCCTGTGTCCCTTTATCTGCTGGACTCCCTGGGGTCATGTGGAGCTCAGACACAAGCGTAAGGGGAAACACTCCTCTTTATCCTGTTCTCTGCTCTCCACTACCACCACACACTTCTGACCACCAAATGCTGGGGGGGTTTCTCCACACCCAGCAACTCTCCAACACACCTGGGTGTCCTACAATTCAGTTCAGTTCTGATATTATCTACCTGGAGGTAGCACAGACCCCACAGGTTAAGGGCTCAGTCCCACATGACTGCCCCGCTCCCTTCAGATGTGAATAGAAAATTCAGCTTCTGGACCAATTGGCCACAAATTGGGGTTCCCATGTCCCTCTCCTTGGGTTTGATTAATTTGTTGGCACAGCTCACAGAACTCAGGAAAACTGTTTACTTAATAGATTATCCATTTATTATAAAAGGTTATAGCTCAGGAACAGCCAGATGGAGGGATGCATAGGCAAGGTATGTGGGAAGGGCACAGAACTTGCACGCTGTCTCGGCACACCATCCTCCCAGCACACGGATGTGTTCAGCAACCTGGAAGCTCTCTGAACCCCATACTTTGGGGATTTTTATGGAGGCTTCATCACATAGGCATTTTCAATCACTAACTCAATCTTCAGCCCATATTCCCTTCCCTGAGGATGGGGGTGGGGCTGAAAGTTCTAAGCTTTTAATCAAGGCTTGGTCTTTCCGGTGACCAGAGCCCCTCCTGAAGCTATCCAGGAGCCCACTGAGAGTATCTTCGTTAGAACAGATGACACCCCATCACCCAGGAAATGCCAAGGGAGGCAGAAGCTCTGTGTCAGGATCCGGGGTCAAAGACCAAATATTAGAACAAAAGATGCTCCTAGTACTCTTATCTCTCAGCAAATTGCAAGGGTTTTAGGAGCTCCAGGCAGGAACTGGGAGCAGACACCAATATATATATTTTTTTCAATTATTTCGTAACAAGTAAAACCCAAACATTTATTCCATATAATCACTTACGTGTAGTCTTCTCTAAAGAAAGACTTTGCATATACCTCTGCTGATTTCATCTTGTTGGTTTTAGCTCATTTTCCTGCCAAGGCTCCCCAGCATTCTACTACCTACATGTTTACTGGAGGGATTTGTCTGTCTTCCTTCAGTTGTGGGCTAAAAACTGTTGACTAGGAACAGAGTCACACCCAAATCCTCTCAACCTCCCCTTCTTTTATTTCCTGGATTCTGAAGTTTAAAAGTAAAGAGGGGGAAAAAAGGCATCTTCTTATAAGAGAAAGGGAATTTTCCCCTATTTAAAAGGCAAACACTCTTTTAGGAACCCATTAACCTCTGATTTCCCTGGAAAAGGAAGGGGTTGGGGATAGAAGGGACTTAGCAAACAGCCTTAGAGAGGAATGGAATTGGTGGGAGAGTCATGTCATCTTCCCGGGAGGAGGAGAACTCAGCAGGTGTCTGAACTGATCTTCGTGACTTCTCTTGACAGTGACCAGGACCTGACCGGGGATCTCGGAATAGCCACTCATCACAGTGTCTTAGTTCCTCATCTACAAAACAGACATAACCTGCCTCTGTGGCATAGAACGTAAAAGGATTGGCAAGTATTTCATAGAAAGAGAGTTGATTTTCCAATAAATGTCTTCTATTCTTGGAAAGATGTGCTTCAATAGCAACAGTAGAATCACTTATGAAGCATGTTGAATATACTACTAGGCACCGGAAAGGTGTTTTGCATAATTTTTCTCATTTGATCCTCACAACAACCCTACCAGATGCATGTGTTTTATCCCCACTTGATAGATGTAGAATCTGAGGCCAGAGATGTTAATAAACTTGCTCAACGTCAAGAGGCCAGAAAGGCACAGAGCCGGGATTCAAACTCTCATCTCTCAGCTGTACAGGGATCCCAAATGCAGGACTCAGGGGCTGCGAAGCTCACCTCCCACACCATGGCAGACACTACTTTGGAACCTCTCGGAGCTGACAATACTGATGGTGGGGAGGTCAAACGAATTTGCCCTTAGAAGCCTATACTCCAGAACAGTGGTCCTGATGGCCTCACCTTCAGAGATTCTGATTCAATAGGTCTTGGGTTAGACCCCAAATCTTTATTTTTAAGGATCCTCCAGGTGATTCTGACGATAGCCAAGTTCAATATCCACTGTTTTCTGCAGCTATATTCAATGAGGTCAGATCTCTTTTGTTTGTTTGTCTGGTCTGTGGGTTTCTGAAACAGAGGACAGAGCTAAGGACATAATTTTAGGAGAGAAAGGCAAATATTGACTAGTTGCTATTTATGGAAGGTTTACTAGATGAAAGGCAGGTCTAGTACTTTCTTTCTCTCTTGTGAACCACCAGAACTCTGGAAGGAAGAGCTAGTCATACCCTTCTGTGCCAAATACCCAGTGAGTTTTAGAGACACACGAGTGTCCTCCCTCAGATGTGACTGTGATGGGCGTGGGAGGGAAGAAAGTTCTCTTAGTCATGCTCCAAGAAGCCTCTGCTTGGAGTATTGAATACGAACAAGAGTAAGTAAAAAATCTTACAATTTATGATCCAGTGTTAATCCTACTCCTTTAATTCATAACAAATTGTCTAACAAGCTTCCTCCCTCCCCCACGGGAAAATTACTACATGTGGTAGATCACAAACCTGATGAGGAGAAGCAGCAATATCCCATTAATATTTATAATGTCTCAATGCTTATATATCCCACCTATTTGGAAAATCAGCCCAAGTAATTAAGGAGTATGGGGAACCATAAAGATGAACAATATCGGGAAAACAGTGCACATATGCAAGTTATCAACACTATTTTACTTCTACTGTTACGTCTTAATGACTTAATTTTCCATGGATGGCATTTTTTACATGTAAATTTCTAGATTAAAAAAAAAACTAAAAACTTCATTATCATCCAAGCAAAATAGATATGTTTCAAACAGCAAACTTACATCTTTGGCTTCTCCACAAGGTATCGAAAGTGTTTACTTCCGATGATTTTCACCACCACCTCGGGCATTGCCACTGATCCACGGGGAGTCTTCCAAACTGATGACATGATTCTTCCAGAAGCTCCTTCAAATCCTTGGGGGTGGAAAAGAAGTAAATCTCTCCCTCTTGACTCTCCACTAGGCAACTGTAGCATTCTTGTCAATAGTAACAAGAATGATACCAGCAAGACTAAGTACTTTACCTGTAGTGTATCTCATGAACAATCCAATAAGGGCGTGAGTGAGAGACCTTCATTACTGTTATCATCTTTGTCTTACAGTTGAGGGAACAGGCATAATGCAGTTATGTAACTTATTCAATATCACTAAACCAGTAACTGGCAGGTCTGGAATCCCACCTAAGAAGTCTGCAAAACTGGTCTACTGAGCCATTTGGTGACTCTCCCTTCCTGATATCAGATGGCATTCTTGTGAAGTCAGAAAGGAAACCAGGACTTTAGTGGGGCATAGGAAGATCTTCTATTCAGCTCTGATGCTCAATTTCCCCTGCTATGAAACCAGGATAATTCTAGTTCTGCTCTTGGGGACTTAGAGTGAATCCAATGAGATAATGCATCTGAGGAAGCATTATACATAGGAAAGAGGAATTCTTGTTGTTGTCACTGCTCTGTTTTGGCAACAGGCCAATAAATCAGAAACTGAGATCCTGCGCTAGATAAGCAGGTCTGGTGCCAAGGGGAACTCAGAAGTTCTGTAAACCTGGCCCCAGGCTGACCACTCCCTGTCAGAGCCTCTCAGAGATGGAAAGGCCTTTAGAAACCATTCTAATCCAAATGCTAGCTTTACAGATTGGGACACTGAGGCCCAGAGAGGGTGTTATTTGAGGAAGGCCACACAGCGAGTAAGAGCAGACCTGTTTCAGTACTGTCTGAGAGCTAGAGCAGGATTCTTCCAGACCCCAGCTTCACTCGGTGTGTGGTCAGCCTGAGCGCCTGCCCCGCGAGGGTGGCCCCATCCAGCCGGACCTGAAACCTCTTTGAAACCCTCTGGAAACTTCAATGACCAGAATCTGTGTTTGTGGGGTCCCCTCTCTGCCCAGCAGCTGCGCGCCAGCCCTTCCCGGAGAGAACAGGGGGCGGTCTTACCGCAGAGGCGCTGTTTCCCCACCGGGCAGCTCCGTGCGCGGCCTGCTCTCCCCAAGAATGACCCGGAGGCCTGCGGGGACCTGGGACCAGGGGTGGGGATGGAGCCGGGCGTCGGGCCAATCACGGGCCAGGCCGGCGGGGAGGCTCTCCAGGTCGCCAAGGACGCAGAGGGGGTTGCCGGGCGGGGCCCAGGTTTCCTCCACCTGCGGAGGCGTCCCGGCTGTTTGCTGGATTCTGAGCTGCGGCGCTTCCTGAGTCCCGGGAGCGCCTTTCTGAAGCCCATCTCGCCCCTCTGGGTGGTCACGCTTGTCTTGCTTTTTCCCCTAAGCTTCATTTCTCTTTATGAAATTGCACATGGTCGGAATCTTACATTTGGTTCAAATCCAGCCTCCTCCACTGTGTGGCTTTGGACAAATGCTTTCTTTTCCCCGAGATTCAGTTTCCACATCCGTAAAATGTGAAAAAATAATAACATGGATCTGAAGGTAAGTTGGTGACAAAATTAAATAAGAATATAAAAAAATAATAATTTTGAGAGCCATCCATATGCCAGATCTCTTATTTGAGCCGGATCACTATTACCTTATAAGTTAACAATAAACAATAAAATAATTTTATTTCTATTTTAAAGATTAAGAAAAACAAGGCTTGGGGTGTTGAGAAGTTGTCCAAGACCTTACAGAGGCAATTGACAGAGCCAAGCTCTGATAGCTAACCCAAATATCCAGGCACTTTCTACTATGCTGAAAGACTTCAGCAAATGTGGGTAAAGGCACTTCAAACTGACCCAAAATGGTGTTGCTATTTCCATCAGCAGCAGCAGCCCAGCCGTCCATAGGCTCTGCCTCCTCCTGGGGGGCGGGAGGTGGAGCCCGGCTCCTCGCCAATCACAGGGTCAGGCGGCCGCCAAGGACGCAGAGAGCGGGTGCTGGGCGAGGACCAGGGGCCCTGTGGACCGACTGAATGGGCTCCAGCACCCGCAGCCCCAGATGGAAGATGCACTCAGCTCCCTCCAGGCTCACTCTCTAGTGGGCAAGACACACCTGCACTTTCTATGGTACACAGAGTGCCCTGGGCGTAGAGGACCAGGGGCAGCTCCCTTCTCACGCTCCAGTCCAGCCTTTACGTTGTTGCCGGATCAGTCTTCCCAAGGCACAACTCTGAGAAGCCCCCTCCTGCAGTCAAATGTCTCCAAGGGCTCCCATCAGCCGTGGGGGTGGAGAAGCCATAGTCTTCTAGGATGTCTAGCCTGCTCTCCCACCACTTCTCCCAGGCTTGCTGTACTCCATCCAGCCCAGCCTGCTCTTTGGCCTGAACCTGCCTTCCATTCTTCTGCCTTTGTGCCTTTGTTCATTCTGTTCCCTTGGTCTTCGATACCCTTCCATTTCCTTATTGTGTCAGTCTGCTGTCCATTCTTTAAGTTCTATGTTAAATAGTGGAGAGTATGCACCTTAGAATCAAATACCTTGGGTTCAAATCCCAGTTCTGCTACTTTAATGTGGTATTGTGCAAGTCACTTAACATCTTTGTGTCTTAGTTTTCTCTTCTGTGAAATGAGGACTTTTTGTGAAGATTGAGTGAGTTATGTAAATAAGGCACTTAGAACAATGCTTGACACACAAGGAGCAACACAAATGTTTACTATCATCATTATTATAATTATCTGTCAAGAAGCCAAACCAGATCCTCCATGGTTTCTCTGCCCTCTGTATAATTTGTGGTTTCTCCTTTATAAAATGTGTCTTTCTTTGCCTGATAGTGTGACTCTTTGTTTACATTGGTTGTCATATATTCCTGAACCATGCTTGTGGTAGCTGAATAATGGCCCCTGAGATGGCCACCTCCTAACCCCTGGAACCTGTGAATGTTACCTTCTATAGCAAAAGAGACTTTGCAGGTGTGATTAAGTTAAAGATCTTGAGATAGGGAGATTATCCTGGATTATCTAGGTAGGCCCTAAATGTAACCACAAGTGTCCTTAAAAGAGGGAGGCAGAGGAAGATTTGACTACAAAAGAGGAAGTAGGAGATATAACTGGGAGCAAGAGGTTAGAGTGATTCGAAGAGGGGGTCATGAGCCTAGGAATGCAGGTGGCCTCCAGAGCTAGAAGAGGCAAGGAAGCAGATTCTTCTCTAGAGCCTCCAGAAGGAACCAGCCCCTGCCGACCCCTTGACTTTAGCCCACAGAGACTGATTTTGGGCATCTGGCCTCTAAAACTGTAAGAATAAATTTGTGTTGCTATAAACCACCAAGTTTCTGATAATTTATTAGAGCAGCCATAGTAAATTAATGCAATGCTATTGAAGGACTCATTTCTTCATAGAACTGATCACACTCTATGGCTTCAGTAGACCAAGCAGAGTTCTTATAAACGACCCGTGTACAGATTTGGAGGCAGAGAGGTCTTCTATCTGTTGAGGTTACTAAACTGTGAGGATAAGGTGTTGAGGCTGTTGGTAGATATCTATATCAACACTTACTGCCTTATTTCAGTAGAAGAGGAGGAAGCCAGATCAGAGCTGAAAGGCGATAAGATCAAAGAGCCTGGATCCAGCTATGCCTGAAGCTTAGATTCTAGAATTTGCAAGCACAGGAGTGATAAATTTCCCTTTTGCTTAAGGTATTTGGAGAAGGGCTTTATTAATCTTTACCCAAATAGTCCTGACTAATACAGAGACTCTTAAACTTCAAGTTGCTAAGGTTTATATATGGTGTGCACTTAACTGATCGAATGGCATTTTAAGTTTCACTGTAAATTCTGTTATAAAGCTTGAAGGAGTAAATTGATTTTGATCAAATCAGATATTCTACTTAACATTATCCTTTGAGCTTATCTTGACTTAAAAGTTTTATAAATGCCGACTTGAAACATAATGGTATTGGAGGGAAACTTTGCACTGTACAGCTCTTCTATCAGTTTAAAGATATTCAGATGAAATTTGATATATTTTTTCAGACCCAAAGGAAACTCTGCTTTGCCATTTCCCAGCCAAATGACCTTGAACAAGCAGTTTAACTCTTTTATCTTTAAGGTAGAGACAAACAATAATTACCATAAAGATTGCTGTTAGGATTAGAGATAACATTCTCAGAGCCCCTGATATGTAATAAACTTCCAGTAAGTTGTATTTTGTTTATAACAATAGCAGTTAGCATTTAGTGAATATTTATTCTGTGCCAGACACTGTGCTAAGAGCTTTCCATTCACTATCCTGTTTAATCTTCACAACAATCTTATGAAATGAAGACTATGAATATCTCCATTGTGGAGGGTCTGGCCCGGTGGCATAGCAGCTAAGTGTGTACACTTCGCTTCAGCAGCTCGGGGTTCGCCAGTTCAGATCCCGGTGCAGACCAGGTCTGGGTGCAGACCTACGCACCGCTCATTAAGCCACACTGAGGCGGCGTCCCACATAGAGCAACTGGAAGGATGTACAACTATGACATACAACTATCTCCTGGGGCTTTGGGGAGAAAAAAGGTAAAAAGCAGGAAGATTGGCAAAAGATGTTAGCTCAGGGCCAATCTTCCTCAAAAAAAATGAACGAAAATCTCCATTGTGGAGATAACTAACCTGAGGCTTAGAGAAGACTACCTGCTCCAGGAAGCATCAGACCTGCACTGGAAATCAGGTTGTCCGACTCTAGAAGCAGCCTTTATGACCACTGCCCCACACTGCTCTGTGGACGTCAGTTAGCCGTTGTTGTTGTTATTACTATTATTAATGTTAATGTGCTCATCGTCTTTGATTTAAGGCTCTAGGTCCCTTAGAGAGTGGAGATTCTATGACAGAATTCTTAAGGAGGAGTAGCCCTTTCTTATCTGGGATTTCTACTTCACACTCTGCTTTATGAACTGACATAACCAGGAAGCATCTCTCCAGTGGTTTATATTAAAGGAGGCAAAACAAAAAGCTATGCAATGAACAACGTCTCTGTGAGATTAAATACTGTGGTTAAAAC